AGCCTTTTCTAACCTAGCAAGATATCCATCATACTTTTGAACCTTATAATGCAACATTAATACTATTACGATGGGTTAGTACATACAACAAGCATGGTTAACTACTGCTTTTATTTCCTTTTTCCTGAATACCTTTAGTTTGCACTTAGATGACAAAAACCAGCACAGATCTTCAGCAACATCACAGCATTCCATTATATTCATCTCAGTTAATGTATTCCTCATTTTATTACTCTCGCATTCTTTGAGTTAATTTTCCAAGGAGCTCAATCACACCACCAGCCTCCACCACATTTGCTCATCATAGATGTTATCACTCGAATTGCAGTTCTGCTATTTCACTATTTGTTTTGTTGGCAGGGAAGGGAGAAAAAAACCCTGGAACAGCTGAGTGCCGGTAGTACTGGCGACTTCTGTTTTATTTATGTTTTGTACTGAGCCATCGTGAATGATAAAGTATGTCTGGGACAGGGCTGTGGGCAATGCTCTAAGTGTTATAGTTGGAAAGGTGCCAGTGTTGCATTGCTACCTATTTTTTACTATTAGCTTTCTGGAAAGAGGGATTCAAAGTCTCATTTTATTCCCTTCATCACCAGTGTCACCTTTACACTGAATTAATGAGAGATCTTTACCAGAGATGGAGTTGGCAGGATGAGTTGTTGATCCTACAGCTTCCTTGATGTGGCAGGAGCAGAAGAACAAATCCTACAAAAAGCAGAACCCAGCTTCTCTTGGGTCTTGAGCTGGGAGGAGTCAGGAGCATCCTCTGATGCTTTTGGCTGAAGCTGGTGCGGTGGGATTGCTTTAAGCTCAATGTCCTGAAGCTCAGTAGAAAACAGTGAGCTTAATCCTGAGGATATGGCAAAAGCAGCAGTCTGTGCTTCCTGCTCAGCTGTATGGGGACTACTGTCTAAGGCTGTAATTAGAAGATATACCTACTAATGAATTGGCATAATCCCCTGCTGTGTGTGGAGTCTGCTTTGGGATCTTTTTTCCTGCACTTACAGAGGAGGTTGACCTCGTTAAATACTTAGCAATAAAAATATGTTTTGCCTTGCCTGTTTTACAGCCTTTCTTCAGGCTCTACCAGTAGAGCTCCTCTGTCTTAGTCAAGCATGTTGAGTCAAGTTTAGTTATAGGGAAAAAGGAAAGTTACGAGGCTATATATGGACATGTTACGTGTGCCTGAGCATGCTGTACATGTCTTTGTGGATATACACACATGGAATTTTGATTTCTTAATGGCCGCAAAGCAGTAAAACAAAATGATATTTAAGCAAAGACGTAAGTTTTCAATTATTTTTATGTCACCAGACTCTTTAAATATTTAATCTTTTCTATGCCCAACTAATTTCTTCAATTGCAGTTAGGTGAGTTATAATGAATGTTTGATGAGACAAACTAACACTAACTTGAGTATCTACCATAGTGTAATATTTGTTTGCAGATAATGTTGTTCAGCTTCTGGATACCTCTTTTTGCCCTGTATAAAGTTCCAAATGCTCACCAGTATTGTCATATCTAGCCACAGGGCCCAAGCTGCACCTTAGGCTGTATGAGAGCCAAATATAAAGATGACCATGGTGGTCAGGTAAGGGCCCGACCACCTCCTGTCTCACCCTGACAGAGATCAATAGCTGGTGCCTAAAGGAAAGTATGGAAACAGGACAAAGGTATAGCAAGGCTTCCTGTGAGAGAGACTCCCAGCCTTCATTGATTTGTGGTCTGGGAACATCTCAAGATAGAAGTGATGTCTTCAAGTTTAATATTTGATCTGATTTGTTACATCCAAAGTATATAGTTATTTTGTATAATTCATGCTTTCTGTCAGTAAAGGACTAAGACTCCTCCAAGGGAAATACTCTCTTTTTACTGGAAAAATGTCTTGTCTGCCTTTTCTGATTAATGAGAACATCTATATGCCTGCTTTTGTGACTTGAAGACTGATCTGATACCACTTAACTATGTTAATTTAGGAATGCAACTGAATATTCAACCCAATGCTCCAGAAACTGAATGTAAAAATCTGAAGTGGTGGGATAATGAAAGTAATCCATAGTTTGCCAGCAGCTACCTCCACACATCAGATCAAAGCAGAATGGGGGGAGCATAAGATTTTTGAATCAAAACCAGCTGAAATAGTGGGATGTCTAATATATGGGGAATTTCTGTAAGTTCAGACTTGGTTTTGTGTCAGCTTCTGCGGCAGCTGCAGACTGAAATGAAGGGGATTTCATTAAGGATACCTCACTCTGCCACCATAGGATGGTCCTGGGGCTCTGAGGCTGTAGCAGACCACCATCAGCCCAGGCTTCTCCAGCCCTCAGGGTACCTGCTCATTAGGGCTACCCAAAGTCGAGAAGGTCTGAGGAGCTGTGTGATGGGCTCTCCAGGTTCCTCAACTGTGAAAAGGAAACCATCTGCCTGCTAGGACACTGAGTCCAAGTCAGTAGTAGCTTACTGAATGTAAAGGGTTTGTTCTGCACAATCATGCAGTTTTGGACAACAGGACTGGGATGCAGTCTTTTTTCTTTTCTTATCATTTTTTTCCCCTGAAGGGTTCTGAGCCAACACAAATCATAGCTCATGAGGGTGTTCATGCATTATTTTTTAGTAGCCTTGTACCTTACTATGTTGCTTCTCTGTATTTGTGATGCACATCGTCAGAGCTTGAAGCAAACATGTTGCACTCAGGCTGGAGCATCTGCACCTTGTTCTTCATGGGAATCCTGGCAACAGATTTCTTTTGTTACGTTGCACCATCTCTCTTGCATCAGAGAGGTGGGAGTGCTGCAGCCATTGCATTGTGTCACGACCAAAGCTCCATATCTACACATCCTGTTACATCCCATCCTCCCACATGTTCATAGCAGTCTGCATCAGGCAACTTCTTGGCTTGTTTTCCAGCTTGCTGCTGCTGTGCTCTCATTCCCATAATGGAAGTGGCTGGGAATGAGGGAATCTTGCTTTCTTTTTTTGTCCTCACCAAGAGCTGGAGGTGTGTGCTTCTGCCTGTATGTGCTTCCTGTAATTGATGATCCACCCAACAGTGCAGGAATTCAGACGGTACAGAAAGTCTATGCGCATGCATAACAGCCTATTAAGGCAACGTGCCAGCTCCTTCCCAAAGAGATTTGCTTCTGATGAGCATTGGCAAGCTGTACTAAATAGGAGCTTTCAAAACCACATGTTTTCCAACCTGAGACTAGGCTCCTGCACTCAGTTTGCAGTGATGATCTAGTCCTATTATTGTTACTTCTGTTTCTCAACTCAGATGATGCGGAGTTAATGCACAAAAATGTAGCACTGATTTTCTTCATGACTCTTCTTGCATTACAGTTTATGAGCAAAAATGAAGAAGTAATTGTAACTGTGGTCTCCTGAGATAGAAATCCCTTAAAAGCTATAGAACTTGGTCTTGCTGCTACCTGCAGATTGAACTAGTGCAGCATCAGCCATTTCTATACCCCTAAGTCATTCAGCAGCCGTTTCAGTTGGCAGTCTGATTTTTCATGGTTACCCTGGAAAAGGACAGGAACTGTGAAGGCCCATTTGTGACCTTTATATCTGCATTCAAGAGAGGCAGAAGGTCTGAAAATGTGTACCAAGAAATGTAGGGCTGGTCTCTGCCCTTCTGGCTCCTGTTGCGGGTATCTCACAAGCTGTAGAGCCGTTAGGTGTGATATGTAGCATAAACCACTTCTACAAGATCCAGTGAAGTAATCAGTGCTAAGTAACAGAACTGTGTTTGCTTCTTCTGATCTGTGTGACCATGCTTGTTATGTGGACTGCTGGTAAGAATAACATATATTTCTAACAACAGCATTATGATGCTAACTTTCAGTGTGGGTAGTTTTATATACCGATCACTGAAATCTTCCTTCTTGCAAGCCTGAAAGCTAAATAGGTTTTCCAGGTAGCTCTAGCCTGTTTATGGGTTCAGGATGTTTTTGTGAAGATGCAGTGGAACTTTTCTTCTTGTGTAGGAGACCTCTAAGGAATAAATGTTAGAAAAGCATCCCTGAGCCTGTTTTAAGGACACAAACTGCAAAGCACGTATGTATCCAACCTAGGGAGGTTGGGTCATTCTTTTTGCTTCGTCCTCGCCTGCTTTGAGCTGCTCTGCCTGGTTTGGCTGTGTGGTCTGGGTGGGGGAAGGATGGTCTTTCAAGTGTTTTCCCGTATGTCAGGGATTAGGGATGATTAGTGCAATGATAGTGATAAATATGTATAATTCTTGGTGCTTCTCTAAGGTTTTTGATCACTGGTAGCACCACTGCCAGGTGGTTGTTTCCATTGCTGTCTTCTCACCTGGGTGTCCGCAGTGAGGCCCCCAGCTCTGTGTTCAGTGCCAGGGTCTGACCTCTTGGAGACACCAAGCATATCTAGAAGTGATAGGGAGCTGGAAATTGTGGTGATGATGAGTCCCCACCCTCCCAGAAAACCCCAGGCCACTTACCTGTCTCTGACAGCTGCTTTCGAGGCTGAACTTTGGGACCCCTTTCCTGTGCGTTGGGCTGACATCAGCACTCCCCATAAACTGTATGGTCCTAATGGGATTGACTGTTTAGGAGATTTAAATTCCTTGAGTGAGAGACATTTTAACAGTGCAAAGCATAAAGTCTGAGGTGATGTCTTTGCTTCTAATGCAGAAGTCCTGTTAATTCTGCAGGAATACCATAATGAATTAAAATATTCCCTATGGAGCTTGCCTTTTTATTGTGATATCAGACTGGAATAAAAAGCAGCCAGGCTGGCATTCATTTCTTGGTGCTAGGGACACTATTAAAGTACTGTAAAGCAAGAACAGCTTTGCACTACAGTTCTTGAATTCAAAGATTGCCCTCTGAAGGTGCCACACATGATGGATTGTCACAGACTCTTTGTCCTGCCTTGACATTTCATTCCTATCTGATGTTGTCTTGTGTTCTGCTCTGAATCTGCCAAACAGCTGACCCTAGAATTTAATGCCACACCTTCTCTTTCCTTTTTCTGAACAGCATCATTCACAGCTGAGGCTCTGAAATACTTGAGGACATTGCATCTTCCTCAGGGACACAGACAAGGGGGAGCTGGATCCTCTGGGGAGCTCAGAAAGGAATTGTGGTTGGTGGTCACCTGAGGAGCTTACCTTCACACCAATGTTGCTCTGAAAGGAGTTGTGTCCAACATTCAGGTTTGGTAAGGTATGTTATTTCCCCCCGCTCTTCTCTGTTTACTCTTTTCTGAATACATACGTATGGGGAAGATAGAAAATTAGCAGCCTTCGTGTTTATTGTTGCATAGGTGCCATGCTTATACCACCTCTGCAAATAACTTTTGCTTTCCCTGAATTTGGAGCGCATTCATCAAGATTGAAGTGTTTTTAAAGTCTTGAGCTTGAGGGGGTGCATGATGATATCAAGTGCTTCATTGAACTAAATGCTTGCTGATGATTGTGATATGCTGATGGTGATGTATACTAGGTGATAGGCAACCGCAATTTGTAAGTCACACTTGTGTTTCATGAATGCGTGTGGTTCAGAGGGTCAGAGATGGAAAAAAAAAAATGATGCTGAAGTAGCCCATTTGTAATACAGCCCTCTGCTTTCCTTTGTGCTTCATAGATTTTTGTTGTTTGCCAAGGATGGAAATAACACCAATTTCTTACATAATTGTATGTGCCCCCTTTGTTGTGTAGCACTTAAAATTTATGAATGAGTGGAGGTTCTCACATCCACAAAAACATTGCCTTGGTTATGCTGTAATGTAGCAAGGCAATATGCAACTATCTTTTAATAAGAAGTTGAGGGCCAAGACTTAAAGAATGTATTGTGAGCAGAGCTTGTGCTGTGGAAGCATTTAGGGTAATACAGCCTCTGATTCTACAGCTTCTTTTATCTAGGCCAAGTTATTTCTGTGAAGGCAATGTTTACTGGTAAAAAACCCCAAAATTTAAAGCATTGGTTCCCAGATCTCAGTAGAATGCTATCAAATGATGCTATCCTTTTTCATTTAACACATGGATATTAGCTTCTGTTATATGGCTGAACCAGCAGTATAATCTTGTTGAGAGAAGTACAGGAGGAACATTAACACCTGCATTTGGTGTTGGGGGGGGGGCGGAGAGTCAGGGCTTTCTTAGAAGTCTCTAAGAAGCTGTAAGGAATCCAGGGGAGCCTGCATTCAATCATTCTGCTTTTGATCTGCTTGCACCAGTAGAGTTACCTCTGGAAACTGTATGCTCAGGCTCCCACGCTTCAGCAGAGCTCTGCTGGTCTGGAGACTGCCTGTCTCCCATGGTTGCAGAAAAACAAGTTGGCTGGAATAGCTTAAATGAGATGCTTAACTTTTAAATGTTGAGGGTCAAGAAAGGTCTGTTCCAAGCGGAGCATATGCTGTTAATTTGTACCAGCATTTCATGAAAATACTGTTGTCAGGGAGGAGAGGTTCCCATCATTAAAATTGCTGCACTGCTTGCTCCGTTTGTCTGTCTGCTCTGGTGGCACCTGGTTTGTAGAAGAGGTTATTAAATGTTGCTCCTGCTTTTGTTATCATCTTCTCTTTTGTTTATTTCCAAGCTGCTGCTCTTGTGATTATGATACCTAAGGGGGAAGGCTGTAGGAGAGGTTTTTCGTAATCAAGAGGGCTTTTTTGGCTCTTGCAGAGAAATATTTTGCACTATTATGATGTAGGAATTACAGGTATTTCTTTATTCCCTGTTTTTCTGCAAGATTGCTAAGTGAAAGCATGTAAATCTTCCTTGCAATGAGCATGTGGGTTTTGCTGGCTATGCAAGGTGCTTCAGGGCATTCAAGGATCTGCACCAGAGCAGTTGGTTGCTGGTGTGACCATGGTGCTGACCCTGCCTTGGGCAGGATGGTTTTAGATGGGCTCCCCATGTCCTTCCCACTTGAGTCAGTCCAGCTCTCAGTCTAAAGTTCATGTCTCAGGCTGCAGCATGAGTAGTACTCCAGTGCAGAGGTTGTGCAGGACTTCGCAGAGCCTCACAGTTTCAGAGGAGAAAGAGCATTTTCATATGACTGATTTATGCAAAACTATTAGCTAGGTATTAAATTCTTGGTTGGACTTTGATTATAATTTTTTGCATTTTATTTTGTCACTGTCAGGTGTAAAAGCTTGGCTCTATTTAAGCTCACATTCATGGAAACTTGATCTTTGAAAAGAAATTGTAGAAGATTGTGCTGGAATTTAAACAGCTGGAAAGGCTGCTGTTCATTCAAGTAGCTGAGACCCCTTTAAATCCTTTTGCTTCATTTTGGGGGCTCATGCAAACTTAACAGTATAATTGACTACCATCAACTGTATCTGCTCCCGTGATGCCCCTGTAAGACAGAAGTACTACTTATCCTCATTTTATAGATGGTAAGTAAGGAAGAGGGTCACTTCTAGGTCACTTCTAAGCAGTAAACATCTGTCTCTGAATTCCATGCAATCACTAGTGCAAAAGGTGCATCTGATACCCACAGCTGGAGACACAAAGATAACTCTGGCTGAGCAGCTGAGTATATTCAGCAAAGCATGAAATTTGGATGTGGATCCTTTTGAGGTCACTGCTCTGATCTAAACCAGTTTCTTCTGTGTGTCCTGCTCTTCCAAGCAGAGGGGGTTTTCACTAAGTGGTTACCATAACACTAGATGACATCAGGACCCAGATTTGTTCTGTATCTCTGCTGGAAATGGCAACATATGTCCAAATAATGTTAACTGAACTCATTCATCTTTGCAGCAGAATGTTGTTTGCTCATGTGAGACAATCAGATTCCCTTTTAGCAGCATTTATGCAATTGTGGTAGTGGTAATCTTATTGTGTAATGAAGTATTTTAAATGGGTCTGTAGATAACATGCAGAATGATTACTTTTTTTTTTTACCTTAAATTGGTCATTAGTAGATTAATAGAATATGGTTAGTAAAATTCTGCTGAAAAAGCACATTTGGTAAATATGTAAGAGAAAAAAATTTAGGTAGCCATTAAACATAGTTAATAAATTTTATTTTGCAAGTGGAATTGGAAAACCCTTGGTTCATTTAATGTGTTTTATGGATCTCGTAGCAATTAATTGTCTTCATTACATGGACATAAATCCTCAGTGTAATTCACCTTTCTTAGATGAATTACTTTGGAACTTTTACCTTTGCTTCATTTAGGCTGCAATATTATTTCTCTCTTTTAAAAGCTGAATTTCAACATCACATTTTTCACTACTCCCAAGTGTGAATCAGTTCAAGTTAACAAAATCTCTCTGTGTTACAGGGCAGTGCAGAGGTAGTGTTGTCGCTCTGATGGTCTGATACTGGTGAAGCAGAGAACTTGCATGTTCAAGCCCTACTTGATGCATAGCAGAGCAGTGAGCAGTGTCATTTTCTTCTTCCCTATATTATATGGGCTGAAATCTGTCTCCCTTACGTGATTTCATTTACTGAATCAGTAACAAACACCGATTTCATGTGCTTGTGGGTTTGCATGTCAAAATAAGACCTTAATGCAGCATTCCAGTGTCTTGATGAGAGGTGCAAGTCTACTGGATGTGTCTGAAAATGTGTCAGTAAAATTATCCTACATTATTGAAGGAAAAGTTCAGGTGGAGCATCACGGGATGTCTGCTTGAGTTCCCAAAGTTAAAGTCAAAGCTATATTTTGAAGAAAGTCTTTATTATTCTTGATTAATTGTGCACACTGAATAGGAGAAGAGGACGACATGCAGGATTGCTTTTTGCACGTGTTTTTCATCAGAGCTTGTTTGTATGAGGACCACTTATGCAAATGTTTTCTAGTGTTTCTCTGAACTATTTTGCCAGGATGAAGAAAAAATGGCTATTAAGTTTGTATGTTTTGTTGCAAGATCAGCACACTGGCTGTTAACATATCAATTCCCTTGATGAGATCTCTTCTGCAACCCTGTTCACTCAGCTTCTCCTGACAGGACTCTTACTGAATCCATCAACCTGACACATATCAAAGCACAATTTTTGATAACAACTATATTAGTGTAAAATGAATTAAGAACCTGGTATCAACAGCAGAACTGAGTTGAATTTCTGAAAGAAAATAAGAAACTCCAAAGCTAACATGAGATTCTTAAGATATTAATCGGAGAGCAGTAATATAATAGTCGTTTACCTGTACTCTTGAAATACTGAGAAGTGAATAGGTCTGCCTAAAATCATATAGATGGGCTTGTTGCTGGGCTGTCAGCCTGTAGCTCTGCCTTCTGGACTCTGATATAGTGAGGAACTGTAGTGTTGCTTAGAGGCATGGTTTATTTTTTTTTCTTACAGGATCATAGAATGGTTTGGGTTTGAAGGGATTTTAAAGATCATCTATTTCCAACCACCCTGCCATGGTTCAGGAACGCCTTCCACTAGACCAGGTTGCTCAAAGCCCCATCCATCCTAGCCTTAAACACATCAGGGTATCCACAACTTCTTTGGGCAACCTGTGCTAATGCTTCACTATTCTAATGCAGACCATTCTTGTGTGAGGACCAATGACCTCCTTGTAATTACTTTTCACTCTGGTGTTTGAGAAATTTGGAGACTGAGGAGTGGAAAATGCTAACTGTGAATGGAGTATCTCTTCTTTCTCTTAGAAGATGAAGCAGTTTTGAGCCCCTTGTCCTCTGAAAAGTTGCTGCTTGGCAGCCCATGGGCTATGTCTTTGTCAGGGTCCAGCTGGGGTGGAAAAGGGCATATGTTTCTTCGGGCTACAGATGTTCTGATATTACCTGGCTCAAAACCTACTTCTGAGAACACATTTCCATATCTGCTTGCAGCCTTCTCCTATCTATCTCGCTCTCCCCATCCTGCTTTTTATCTTCTCACTTCATTTTTGCATCTCTTAGATGATAAGCAACTTTTGGCTGAGCAGGGCTGCCTTTGCACTGGTGCTGCTTGCACTGTTCCCAGGCTTGCTTATCTCTTAGTTTTGGCTAGCACACACTATAAGGTATTAGCTAATAATAATCATGCTTTTTGCTCTGTGGCATGTCTGCTCTTTGGATAGGTATCCACTGGCAGTTTGCAGCCTCACAGAGATGAAAAGGAGGGCGGCCAACAGTTGATGTGGAAAATTAATTATGAACTACCATCCCCCTGCCACGTAGTTAAGGCATTTCTGCTTTCCAAGCTTTACATCCAGCCTCTTAGAAAAAGTAGGAGAATACTGCATTTCCTTCCTCGAATAG